GCCCCCCCTCCCGGTCGCAACCAATCAGCGGCCTGGTTCGCGCGGCGCCTTGCAGGGAAGCCAGGCGCGGGGCACGCCGGGACTGGTGAGGATGCGCCTGCGCCGGCGGGGGCGGGGGCGGCCCTCTCCCCCCCGCCCCCACGGGGACCCACCCACCCCAACGATGTCTGCACGGGGAGTGGGCAGGGCGGCCTAGCTGATGGACCGCGGTGGCCTCGGGACGCGGGGTCCTTGAAGGCCGCCCGCTCTCGGAGCCTGTGGTGCAGGGACGGGCGTTGTCACCCACCTGCGCACCTGTGCACACCTGCTCTCACCTGCGCGGCTCTGTCCTTGCCCGGATTCCTGGAGGGCTTGGAGGCCGAGACTTAACTGCAGTCGGGCGTTAGGAGCCTTATGGCTCGGCTCTACTTCCATTCGATCAGAACTACGTGCAGATACTCAGTTTTACCCAGAATTCTGCGGTTCTTTTTCGTATTAAAAAGTTTCGGAGTGGTGTTCCAGAGCCCGCAACTTGTTTACTCTGAGGGATGCCTCCCGCTGACCCAACCTCTGGTGTACTGGGCCCCGAAGCGCCCGTGCCGCCGCCTCGCTGCTTGGGGCCCAGGTGGATAGCTTTGGGCTGGCGAGGGCTGAGGGGCTCAGGCGGTTGTCTCCGTGCTGGGCCTGGAAGCTCCAGACGCGGGGACAGAGCCTCCCAGGAGATGTCACGTCCCTGAACTGCAGGTGCGCCCTAGAACTCAGGGCGGTCCTGGGGTCAGTGTTTATCATCCACGGACTGGTTCTCATTCTTTTGGGGCTTATTGTGCAATTAAGCCGTATGCTGACCGGACCGGGCCCTCAAGCCGGTGGAGAAGGCTGTGAGCCCCGCCCCACCCCACCCCATTCTAGTCAAGGGGGAGCCGCTGCAGTGTTCGGTTGAACCCTGTGAAGTGGCTGTTGAGGTCAGACATGGCCAGACGTTGGGAATTTCACGTGGACCAGCTAGTAAGAGGTATTCAGTGCTAGTTTCTCCCTTGAGGAAACCACATGGCCACTGCATTAAGAGATCATTCGGAGCACAACTTTCAGAGTGTTGTGAGGCAGAGGCAGGGACAGCAGGGTGACAGGCAGAGGACAGAGTGGCCTCCTCAGGTCGCTCACTGCAGGTGAAACTCCTGATTGGGGTTTGAAGAGTGAGGCCTTAGCCTGTTTTCCCCCCTTTGCATGTGCCTGGCACACATGAAGGTCAAGAGATGCCAGGGAGCTGGAGTTTAGTACTGTTTTCCCAGCTTGCCAGTGTTTGTAAATGTGCCTGAATGTTGCTTGAAGGAGTGTTGAGGGTGATAAGGAGGATTAACTTCCTTTCAAGAAGAAACAGACACCCCTAGTTGGGTGATCACAGGCCAGAGACCAGGACTGTGGTACAGGAAGACAGCTCACGGTTGGTTAGATTTGATGGAACAGGGCACAAAACAGACAGGTCCAGGGCTGGTTTTGAAGCCAGGGTCTATTCTTGAGAGATGGTTTTTCTCACGTAAATTGCCTTATGTGATTTTCTGCGTCCTTAAAATTGGACAGTTCTGTCATCATTCACACAAACATTTGTGAAATGTGTTTGCTGTTGTGACCATAGTTGTCATTTGAGGGCTCTTTCACCCTGTGAAATGCTGATGTTAGGTGTCGGACCTTTGAATAATGGGCTAGTGGGTGATGGTGTGTGGACAGAGCCTAAACCCCCAGATTTGAGGGACTGAGCAGTGCCTTCTGACGGGGACATTCTGTGGAGGTCCCTGGTGCTTTGGTGAGCTGTGTTGTGAAAAATGGAACATCTGATTTCTTAAAGGAGAATGTTAGGTTGACCTGGCTTAATTAATTTTTTGCTATTTCTGTACCTTGTCTCAGAATCCATGGCAAGGATGGCTAGGCTGTAAATTTCCCTGACTGGGGGGAAAATGGGGCAAAAAGGGAGAGATTTAGCTTTCTTGTAGTTTTAAATCTTAAACATTCCTTGATTAAACTGTCAGTTTTTAAAATAGATGTATTTTTAATTTTTAAAAAATTTTTCCTGTAAGCTGTCAGGGGCTAGAGAAGCTATCCTGCCAGTCAGCCTTACTGCTTTCTTTTGTCTGTAGACATTGTTAACAGTCCTCATTATTGGGTTCTTCGGGTGTAATTCTGAACTTACATCCTAGTATCGTGGGTTTTAATGGAGGCAGTGTTGGTGGTACAGGGATCTATCGGTTGACGGGAGCTGGCCAGGTGGGCCGAGTGGACTGAGCCAGCCCTGGGGCCTCATGTTCCCCGCGAGCTTGTCGGCTTTGTGGTTCTGTTACTCCTTCCTTGCATACCTCTGTCTCTACTACTTCTCTGCATTTTTGCGCAGCTTGCTCACTTCCGACAGAGAAAAACCAAAGGTGACGGTGCGCACCCGAAGAAAAAGACGGCGAAGAGGAAGGGCCCGGCTGTCGATGCGCCTGTCCAGGAGGAGAGCCCGGTAGCCGCCGAGGACCAGGGGCTCCTGGGAGGACGGGGCATTTGCAGGAGCTCAGTGTGCGGCGACCCCCCTGCTGGCGCGGGAGCAGCTCCGGTAGGTTTCCTGTTTATTTTCTAGTTACTGCTGGCACAATCTGCTGAGAGCGGTCTTTGGCCCATCACAAGTAGGGGAAAGGGGCTTTATTTTAGCTTACGAGAGGGAAGTATATGTTTGTGGTTTTATTCCTAATTAAAGTTTTATCTTTATTATGTGATTTTTGAGAAATTTTGGATGGACTGATTGAGGGCTGGTGTCAGTATTAGTGTCACTTTGGTGCTGGGAGTTTTATACGTGTGACTCCCTGGAGTCTGGCTGAGTACATCAGCACCTCTAGTGGGTTTTTGGACACTTACACCGTAATAGCCCTTCACCTGCTCTCAAATCCACCTAATTGTCAGGGTGTCTTGCTGGACGAGGCGACACTGTCTGCTGCTTGTGGCCCTGTGAGCTGTAGGGCAGGTGTGGACCTGGGTGCTGAGTGCGCAGGACCGCCCTGGGCCTCCCAGTTGCTGTGTGTGGGTGCTGTGTGTGTTACTAGCAAGGGGCCTAGAACTGGTGGTACCCTTTGCTTGTGTGCAGCAGGGCGGGTGTAGCTGTGTGCTGGGCTGAAGATGGGCTGAAAACTGGGGGTTCAGGGCAGAATTTGACTCAAAATCGTGCTGTGTCTGGGCTGCCTTATTGAAAAAAGTGGAATGACTGCCAGCATATAAAGTTTATGACATTCAACCTGCAAACCTGGAATGTTGCTTCTTGTGAAAAGTTGGAAGACCAAGCCATGGTGCTCCCGCTTTGCCTGGAGCAGCTGGCCGGACCTCTGGTGGCTGAGCCTTTGGACCAGCCTGTGACTGGATCAGTCTCCCTCCACTCCCTGTGGTCTCACAGGTCTGAGGTCGGAGGTCAGTGGCCTTCATGTTCTCCTCTTGTTGCTTCTCTGGGTGGAGCAGTGGTTCTCAGCAACCTTGTCTCATCCCAGCTGAGTCAGTAACGGCTTCGTGGAGAGGATATGTGCTGCGGAAGTGAGCACAGACCAGTCTTTTTTATTTTAAGTTAAAAGTTTTATATTTTTTAGCGTTTCATTTTCAAATAACATCAGACTTACAAAAAAACTTGCAAAAAGCAGCCAAGAGTTTCTGTATACCCTTCACCTAGCTTCCTGAAATACTGACACCTCTGTAATCATAGCATAAATCGCAAATCAGGCTCAGTTAACGTGGAAATAATACTGTGAGCTCATTCGTAGAGCTCATTCTGATTTCTCCTGTTTTCTGGCCCAGGAGTCTGCATTGCATTTCAGTGCCTTGTCATCTCGGGTTCCTCCAGTCCAGGACAGTCTTTCAGTCGTCTTTGTCTTTTATAAATTCGACACTTGCAGAGCACTAGCTAAGTATGTTGTAGAATACCCGTCGATTTGGGTCTGTTTGATGTTTCCTTCCAATTGAAGTCAGGGTGTGCGTTCTGGCAGGAACACTGGAGGTGACGGCGCTGCGTGCTCAGGTGGTGTTGGTGTTCGATGCGTCTCACTCCTGGTGATGCCGACCATGACCTCTTAGCTAAGGAGGGGCTGTCCAGGTTTGTCCTGATGGAAAGTTTCTGTTTCTCCTTTGTAGTTAGTACGTGTGCTGTGTGGAGGTGCTTGGAGACCCTGTAAACATCCCACTTCTCATCATACTTTCTTCCGTTAGTTTTAGCTTCCATCCAAGATTCTTGCCTGCGGTAATTAATATGGCGGCGGTGGCCACGTGGTGACTTTCTGTGTCTATCTTTCCACCTACATATATTAACTGGCATTTTACTCTAAGGAAAAACTGTTGGTGCTCTCCAGTTTGTTTATTTATTCAGTAATTTGTATCAGCCGTGGACTACTGGATACTTACTCTGTGAGTTTTAATCCATCATGTCTGTGTTTATTTTGTTGTTGAAATATACACATTTGGCCATTTGGAACGCTTTTGAACTGTTGTCTGTGACCTTTAAACATGCCTTCGTTTTCTGGCACCAGGATTTCTCAGGCTTATTCTGTCCTTTCCCTGCTGCATCCCTGAGATCAGCCGTTTCTCTAAGGAGCCCTGGTTCCTTACAGTGGAAAATGGTATTCAGAAACCAAGAGCTGGGTGCTAGGTACGCTTATTGCCAGTGGGTGTCGTTGCTTCTAGGCTATTTCAGCAGACAGAGCTGGAAAATATAAATGTACGTATATACACACACTGCTACATCTGTTTCTTTGTCTATTTGTATGTACAATACAAACCATGAATTCACACTAATATCTTCAATTCCAGTGCAACACCACAGAATTTATTCTAGCTTTTCCCCTCTCCTTATTTTAAGCTCCCCTTTCCCATAGTGAGAGGCCTGGTTTCTTCCTCTGCAATATCTGTACTTATTCATTCAGTCTTAAAATACATACAGATTAGTTTCAAAATTGTTAATCCACACCCCTGTGAAAAACAGGTTTACTAACTAGAGTATTTGTTCATGCAGGTCTCCCCAGTTATCGGAAGTTTGCGTTACACCAGTTCATTTTTACGAAGGACCTACGTTAGTACCTGTGTTTGTTGACAGAAAGCACTCCAAAGAGGGTTTTGACTTTTATGAAGAAAGGTCATTGCTGCTTCACTTGAGGCCATTTTGGCCTATGCAAGGTTTCATAGGGGCACTCTGCTTTTGGATTGTGGGGGAACCTGTGGTTTTATTGTCTGGCGTCCCAAGTCGTTTTGCTTGGCTCTTCGATTCCTTATCTCTTTGCTGTGGTTATTTTCCTCACTGACAGTACGGTTTTACTTGTTTCATTGTTTGTATTCTGTTTTGGTTCTCACATCCAGGTTGATTTTATGTGACTGTTTTCTGAGTAAGTGAAAGGTTAATTACCGGGGTTCTAAAAATCAGCTGTGTTCAGAGAATGTCATGTCCTCCTCTTCCTGTCACCCCATTCACACCCACCCCTGCAGACGAACAGTCTCTTTAATTTCTGGTTTATCCTTACATTTCTTTTTGCACAGACGAATAAGTGCACGTTTGTTCTCTTACATCCCTTTTTATGGGAAAGGCTCTGTGCTAGCAACAGTCTTCTGCACGTGGCTCTTTCCTGTAGCGGCAGGCCTGGACTCACTCTGTGTCAGTTCGTAGCGCTCTCCCTCACTCATTTTTCATAGCCACATAGCACATGTGTCGAGTGGGCACGCTTTGGTCTCAGGTGCTCTCCTGGAAAGAGCGTTTAGGCTGTTTCCATTGCTTCCCATGCAGTGCTGTGGTGAACAGCCTTGTTGGGATGTAATTTATATTTTAGGACATATGTTTTCAGGGTAAGTTCCTGGAAGTAATTCAGAAGGTAAGTGCATGTAAAGTTCTTTGGAGTACCGCTCAGTTCCCTTCCATAAGGGGTATACCAGTTGGATTTTCATCAGCAAACTGTGATACACCTGTTTCCCAACAGCCTCGTTAACACAGTCTCATCACACTTTGGAATTTTTAGCATCTCGTTTCTCTTGGGTCAGAACCTGGGAGTAGCGTGGTTAGATCCTGTGGTAGGTGTGTGTTTAGCCTGTTAAAAATCGCCAAAAATTGTTTTCCAAAGTGGATGTATCATTTTGCATTCCCACTAGCAACACAAATTCAGCAATAAAAAGGAATGGCATTCAAGATGTAGGGGAGCCTTATGTCCACATTGCTAAGTTGAAAGATGCCAGTCTGAGAGGCTACAACCATAAGATTCCATTTATATAACGTCTGGAAAAGGTACAACCGTAGAGGCTGTGAACGGATCAGTGGCTGCTGGAGGTTGGTTGAGGGGAGAGTTAAACAGGGGAAACGTGGGGTTTTAGAGCAGTGTAACTATTCTGTATGGTAATGTCAATTGAAAAACCAGAAAGCATTTGCATGCAGGTTGGAAATGTCATTCAGGAGACTGGGGGATCCCAGGTTGGAACTCAGAGTGTAACAGAAGGCCCTGCCTGCATTCCAAGATGTGAGACCACCTCCCTGGGGAGGGGGTGAGTCTGAGGGCAGAGCGACCTGCTCACAGGCACGTGCTCTGGTTGAGGGAGTTGCTCCCATGGGACGCAGGTTGACACTGGTGACCTGGCTGTTAGGTGCTGGGCCTGGAGCTTAGAGGGGGTTCGGTAGGGCCAGGTGTCTGCAGCCCTGATGGCCTCTGAGTCACCTGGAGGGTCAGCCTTCCCCTTCCTTGAAGGACAGTCCTGTTCTCAGTGGGTGGCTCTGTTGTCCTGTCAAATCCCAGAGGCGACACCTTCCTGTGTCCCCTCCCGCTTTCTCCACCCCCTCTGTCCTGACGGGCAGCGTCTCCAGTCCTGGCCTCTGCTAAGGCGGCTGGTCAACCCCATGTTCACGCCACCGTCTTCTTATGAAACAAGGGTCCAGCCACCCGCAGTGTTCTCTCCGCAGCACGCATCTCCTGCTTTGCTCAGGATTGACCAAACCTTCCAGTCCTGGTTCTTTTTGCTTAACCGTTCCTTCAGCTTCCCCCTCCTCCCACACTTTACCTTCAGCTGGAGGAGAAGCCGGCAGCTCCCTCAGCACCCTGCTTGGGAGTCTCCTCAGCTAAACAGCCAGGCCCGCCCTCCCCCCGACGGGAGACCCCAGCCCAGCCAGGCCCGCCCTCCCCTAGACGGGAGACCCCGGCCCAGCCAGGTCCCCCGCATGTTAGGACAGGATGACCTTCTGTCCAGTTTCTGGTTGCTCACTCCCTGTTTCTGTCTGAGGTCTCCCTTCCAAATCATTGTAAACTTATGGGTCAAAACTATGGGAGAAAAATTCATTGGAAAACTTTAAACTCAAGTTTGAGAAAAGAAATTGAAAATACTATTCTGCAAATTAAGGAAAAGACTTATCTAAAAGAAAATCTTGAAGGATGAAATACTTGGATTTATATAAAATTAAGAGCTTCGAAAATGTGCATGAATCTGAAAGAACAGAATTTGTTAAGAAACTAAAATGTAGTGATTTAAGCGTTAAGCCCGTGGTAAATGACTTGAAATAGCAGAATCCCTTAAGAAGAGGGCAGCAGCGTCATTAGGGGAACGAGTCACAGTGAAGATGCTGAGAGCTTGAGAGCTGTGGGGGAGAGCGCAGAGGTGGTGGTGGGAGTGGAGGGGCTGGAAGGGCCTGAGGCTGCGCCCTGGGCGCGGCAGTAAGTGCTCTTCCCTGGCCCTTCCCTCTCAGCTGGAGGACCCTGACCCGGAGAGGACTGAGGACTCGGAGCCGCAGCAGAAGCTGGATGGCGACTGTCTGGAGCAGCCTGGGGTCATCACAAAGGTATTCTTCTCCAAGATTCTGTAATAAGGTGTGTCCTTGTGGGAAGATTCTTCCCCGCATGGTAGAAACCCAAGCCAGAGAGGTGGAAACCGGGCCGAGAAGCTGGAGGCCTCGCTTCCTGAGTCTTGCCTCCTGAGTCGCCCTGCACGGAAGGTCTCCTTGAATCTGCGGCCTTGTGCCTTTTGATCGCATCTCCTGGATGCTGAAGGGAGGAGTTGCTGCTCACGCATCAGGGTGGCTGTCACTGCTCAGGTGCTTCCTGGGCCCTGCCCTCGTGGCCCTCTTGTTGGTCATGTGCCTGTGTGGCGGGGCTCCAGCAGGAGTGTGCGGGTGTGTCACCTGGACACATGCGGGGAGGAGAGCTTGTGGGCTGGGGCAGTCTTACTGTCCCAGTTTCTGTACAGCGCGTGGTGTGGATTCCATGTGTTGCGTTGATTCCTTTTCTTTAATTGATTCAGTTTTGTTACACTTGGAGGAAAGTGTATTAGATACTGACCAATTTCAAAGTGCTATGTTAAAAGTCTTCGTTTTATTTTCTTTTACTTTTTATTGAAGTTTGGTCAATTTACAATGTTATGTTGGTTTCAAGTGTACAGCATAGTGATTCAGTAGTTTTATAGATTATACTCCATTAAAATCAGTACAAAATAATGGCTATAATTGAAATTCTAAATTTTAGACATTTGCTTCTAGCTAGACTCTTCAGGCAGTGAGCAGTTTTGGCTTTTAATCTGCATTTTTATATAGCAGGGCCTGGAGAAAAGGTGTCTCTTGGGATCATAAAACCTACCCTTAACAACACACTTGTGTGCTTGTTTCAAACTCTGACTTGTAGCGTCCATGTGGAAATGTACAGGAGACTTCCGCGCAGCCCAACGTGAACGCGTTGTCCCTCTGCAGGTCAGCAGCAGCAGCAGGGCGGTGCTGGACCCCCGGCCCCAGCAGGCCCTGAAGTGGGCACCGTCCTGGCTTCTGTGCCGATTGTGCTGCAGAGCTGTGTGTGAATGGGTCAGATGGGGCTCTGGTCTCTTCTCGCCTTTACTTCAGACGTCTCTGCACCTTATGTTTGGGACGTGTGACTGGTGAACTGTGTGGGTGGTTTCTAAGTGATTCTGTCTTTTCACTGGGCAGTGAACTCTCTGACATCTGATGTAGTCACCACGGTGCCTGCACTTATGCCAGACGTTTAGTTTGGCCTTTCTGTTGTCTTGCCTGTTTTCTTTTATTTCTCCTTTTTCGCCTTCTTTGGATTGTTTTTTATTGGGGGGTTGGAAAAAAATTCTCCCTTTACAGATTTTGAAGTAATATACGGTTTCTGTTCTTTTAGTGGAGGGCTTATTAAATACAACACTTCATCTACGTCTGAATTTAATCAGCATGTTCACTTTCATCTGGCTTAGTTAAATACTCAAACTCCGTATACTTCCTTAACCCTACGTTCTTGTCATGGTCTTTTTCTTAATTGTAGAATATGCGTAATGTGCCATTTTGACTATTTTTTGGTGGGCGGCTCAGTGGTGTTAATACATTCGTAATGCTGTGCAACCGTCCCGTCATCATCTCCAGAGCTCTTGGCACCTTGTGAAGTGGAAACTCTGCCCATGAAACAGCATCCCCCTCCCCCGGCCACCGCCACTCTCCTCCCGTCTGATGCTGACGGCTCTGCGTGCCTCGTGTACGCGGGCTCAGGTAGCTGTCCTCTGTGATGGCTCGGTTCCCTGCACATGACCCCCTCCAGGCCCGTGCATGTGGCAGCCTGTGTCAGAGTGCCATTCCTTTTTAAGGCTGAATAATAGTTCACCGTGTGGTTAGACAACATCTGGCGCATCTGTTCCTGTCTGAGACAGTTGAGTTGCTTCCACGTCCCAGCCGCTGTGGAGCTGGGTGTGGGAAGATGATCTCTTTGAGACCCTGTGTCGGTTCTTTTGGGTATATGTGTTCCCAGACATGGGGCGGTTGGTCGTGTAGAAGTTCTGGTTTTGATTTTTTGAGAAACCACCACACTGTTTTGTGCAGCAGCTGCTCCACATTAAATTCTTACCAGCCGCGCACAGAAGTTCTGTTCCTCCATGCCCTTCCTGGCACCTGCTCTAGGTGTCTTTGGAAGTGGCCGTCGTCGCAGGCGTGCAGTGCTTTGTGTGCATTTCTCTTTTTAAAAACAATTTCTGACCCCTCGATTGGTCCTGCCGCCACCCAGGTGGGAGGCACGGTGTGCCCGGGTGGCGCCGCCCCACGACACCCTCTCCCCGCAGCCGCTGCCGCCCCTGGAGCTGGAGGCGCTGCGCCTGAGCCTGAGCGACCTGCACGCGGCGCAGCTGGAGCTGATGCAGGCCAACCTGCAGCGGGAGAAGGAGACGGCGCTGACCGAGCTGCGCCAGATGCTCAACAGCCGGCACGCCCAGGAGCTGGCGCTGCTGCGCAGCCAGACGCGGCGGGAGCTAGAGGAAATGGCACTGCATTGCAGCCGGGAGACAGGTGTGTGGGCGGCGCGGGGCGGCCCGAGGCTGCAGTTCCTATGCTCCGCTGGCCTGGCGCTGCGTCCCGCTCGGCTGTCTCCGCACCTGGCGCGCACGCCGGCCCTCGACAGGCTGTGTGGTTTCCGGGCCATCAGTGGAGGTGCCTAGCTCACACTGCCCCTCACTGCGCCTGGACCACCTCTCCATGGGCTGATTCTCTGGCCTTGACGTATACTTTTTTTCATTTTAATGTTTCTTGGTACATTTTTTTGTTAGTCACTACTCTTTGTACAAGTCAGTTTTTTACAAAACAGCTTTACCGAGCTGTAATTCACGTACCATGTGATTCACATGTTTGAAGTGTTTGAAGGGAGCACTCGGTGGCTTTTCGTGGATCCACGGGGTTGGGCAAGCGTATCCCGTCTGCATTTAGGACATTTTTCACACCTAAGGAGACCCTGTGCCCGTTTCCCTGCTCTCCTGCCTGTTTGCTGAGCAGCCTCCCTCTCCCGGGGACCCGCCCACCCAGAGGAGCAGCCCCGTGGGCCCTTCAGCACCTCCTGCTTCTTCATGTGGGTTTAGGCATTGATGCTCGTTCTCCCCTGCTTTCGTTAAATTTTTAAAATTTGAAACATGGCTATCTTAGTTAAGCCTGTTCCAAGGCTGTTTTCCCCAGGTGCAGCCGCAGAAACAGGCCCGCGGAGAAGCCCACCCCACTCTCCGCTCCCTGAGGCTCTGCCGGGGGTGGGAGGAGGGGTCCTGTGGACCCTGCCTGATGGTGCCATCCTTCCCAGCTACACCCCCACTGTGCACCCCTTTCCTCCACACTCAGCCCGCCATCTGGCCTAGCCCCACCTCCCTCCTCTGTCCCCTGGTGCCCACACCTCTTTGCTGGTGTGTCCTCCCTCTCGGGTGGAGAGCTGTTGGGCCCTGCTCCATTTGCTTTTCTTCCACCGCCTAGCCTGGAACCTGGCTTGGAGGGATCCTGGACCACAGGGCTGGGAGCGGAGTGGACGGGCTGAGGTCCTTGTGACCAGAGGGCGTGGGCCAGCCTTGCCCACTTCTCCTGGATTGTCGTGTGGGCTGGATTCTCCTGTCCTCTGCTGTGACATGAATATGACTTGCTAATAAAACTGGACATCGTCACCTTGTTTCTCATAGACGTGTCCCACTGTCCTGTTAATGTTGGCAGGGGTTTGGTGGAGCGGCTGGTGGTGCTGGGAGCCCTCTCGCCTCCTAGGGGATCAGACTGTGGAACAGTCTGAGCCTCGGGAATCTGAGCGACTTTCTTCGTTTCTCTTGCAGCTGAGCTGAAGGAGAAGCTACAGTCGGAAATGGAGAAAAACACCCAGATGATAGAGGTGCTGGGATGGGAAAGTGTCGTTCTGTGCACGCGGTGTTTTTCCTCCTCCCTCCCTCCTACGGGCCCCGCCCGGGCTCCTCACCTCAGTTCTGACAAAGCCTGGTTGAAGCTCAAGCTGTGTCAGTGGGAGCAGGACATGCTCCTTTCCCAGAGCCCCTCGTCCTGCGGTGTCTGTGGCCCGTGTGACTCGAGGCTCTCCACCCTGCCTGGTTTCCTGGGCGGCCCCACGGCCTGGCCCTGGCTGTGCGCCGGCACACCGTGGTCTGGGTGGATGGCCCCGGGGACTCAGGGGAGGTGGTGTGGGACCAGCGTGCTGGCCGCGCCCTGTGGCCGTCCTGCTGCTCCCGCACCGCGCCCCTTCGGGGGCAGGAGCTCTGTTTAGGGGTATCAGAACGGCCCTTTTCTAGGAAGACTCTCACTGAACTCCTGGTCCTCGTGACCTGCCCCTTTCTCAGGGCTACGTCTGTAAAAGAGCCGTTGGCACTGGTGGCGGCGGAGGATGTGGGGGTGGGGCGCGGGTGACGCTGGAGGACATGTGTGACGTCAGAGCACGCGGACGTTTGTGTCCTGGCCACGCTGGCCGGGCCATCCGTGGGGGAGGGCTGTGCCCTGCCCTCTCCCCCTGAGCTGGACCGAGAGGGCTCGTTTCTCAGGGCTCTTGGGACAGAGCCCGGCGCCGGCAGCTTAGGGGTGTCGCAGTGGCGCCCGGGTCTTGGTAGGGGATGGGGGCCTGACCGTCGGCCGAGTCGTGTGCTTTTGCTCAGAGCCTGGTTCTGTTTGTGGCAGGCGGTCCTCGCTCTTGTCCTGGCTGTTGGCCTGCAGGTGCTTCTGTTTCTGTCCCTCTAGAGTAGGGGGGCCGTTGACTGGACCTCCCTAGCCGGGTCCTGGGCTGCTGGCCTGGCCTCGGTGGGGTGACCGCCCACCCAGGGTTTCAGACACATCGTTGATGTTTCTTACTGTGGAGCATCTGCTGTTGGTGGTCACCTCCCTTTTCCTTATTTAACTAGACTCTGAAGCAGGACTGGGAATCCGAGAGAAGTAAGTGCTTGGAAAACCTACGCCAAGAATTACTGGAAAAGCATCAGTCAGAACTGGAGAATTTACAAAACCAGTATAAGAAAGAATTGGCAGAACAGAAAGCTGAGTTGGAGAAGATTTTTCACGCCAAAAATCAGGCTGAACGTGAGTATCTAACTGAAATGAACAAGTGAGGAAGGGACTGCGTTCTCCTGTGTGGCCGGAGAGCAAATGCCCTGCAGCTGGCTGGGCAGCACAGCGTCAGCCTCGGGTCCCTCCTTGGTCACAAGCCCCTCCAATACCTGAACCTCCTGGAGACCTTCGTTTCAGAGAGATTTTTCTGCATGTTCTGCTGCTAAATTGCTGCCCAAGAAGTATCACGCGATTGTTCACGTTTTATCCTGGGTTGCTCGTTGCTCGGCGATAGGTGCCGTCTGTGGGTCAGCGGGCCTGCGTCCCCGCCCCTCTGTCCCCAGAGGGAGCAGGGTTCTGAGAACGGGGTCTAGAAGGAGCCGGGGCGCCCTGCACAGCTGCCGGCGCTGAGGGGGACGCTGGGTCACAGGCTGAGCGAGGTCCGTGCCCGCCCCCAGTTTCCCTCCGGACTCAGGAAGCTCAGCACGAAGCGGCCCTGAGGCAGCTACGCGCGGACCTGCAGCGTGAGCGTGTCCAGTGCCTGGAGGACCTGGAGCTGAAGTTCAGAGAAAGGGAAAAGGAGAGCCAGCTGGAGGTAGGTAGGCGCTCCCGGGTCTGCGTGTCAGCGTGGGCGGGGTCCGGGCTTGGGGTCGTTGCGCGGTCTTTGTTGGCCAGAACTTAAGCCCTGACTGACACACACACGTGTGTATTTATTTAACGGTGGTATGGTTGGTGTACAACACAGTGATTCACAATTTTTAAAGATTATACTCCATTTATAGTCACTGTAAGATAATGGCTACATCCTGGTAGAGTATTTTATACATAGTAGTTTGTACTGTTTTTAAATTTTGTTTGCTTATGTATTTAATTCACACTATTGTATTTTAAAAATTAAAGTATAATTGATGTGCAATATTGCATATTATAGGTGTGCAATTTAGTGGTTCCCAGTTTTTAAAGGCTGTGCTCCACTTACGGTTGTTGTAAAATACTGGCTGTTCCCACGCTGCACACACTTCCATGTACTTACTGTTATCTGATGGTTTGTGCCTCTTGATCCTACACCTTGCCCCTCCTGCTTCCCTCTCCCTGCTGGAAACCACTAGCTTGTTGTCTGCATCTGTGAGTCTGTTTCTGTTTTGTGTATGTACCTGTCTGTGTATGTTTTAGGTTCCACATGAAGTGATACACAGTATTTCTCAGCCTGACTTATTTCACTTAGCACGATGCACTCCAAGTCCATCCACATTGATGAAAATGGCAACATTTCATTCTTTTTTATGGCTGAGTAGTATTCCATTGTATAAATTTACATTTTCTTTATCCAGTCACCTGTAGATGGACACTTGGTTTGCTCCCATGTCTTGGCTGTTGTAAATAGTGCTGCTGTGAGCACTGGGGTGCCGGTGTCTTTTTGAATTAGTGTTCATTTTTTCCCATACTCAGGAGTGGAATTGCTGGGTCATATGGGAGTTCTATTTTTGTTTTTTTAAGGGACCTCCATATTTTAAGCCTTTATTTAAAGAGACTCTCAGCATTTGGTGGAGCTGGTAGGTAACCAGGTCAGGACAGAATCTGTGGGTTTGACCTACACGTGGCATTCAGCCCTGCATGCGAGAACTCGTGTTCTTGGCACTTGGCCCACTTAGTGTCGTGGGCCCTGCCCCAGGGGCTGGGTCAGTCGGGCCCCACATTGTCGTCCTCCTCTTCTAGTTAGAGAACCTCCGGGTGTCCTACGAGGAGCTGCAGGCCCAGTCACAGGAGGAGATCCAGCGCCTGTGGGTCCAGCTGGAGTCTGCCCGGTCCAGCAGGCAGGAGCTGAGTGGTGAGGAGCCTTGTGTTGAAAATTCAGGTCCACAAACAGCTGTATTTGTAACTGTTGAAACCCCCAGCTAGAATCCGATGGCTTTGAAAACCCCAGAAAGTGATTTGTAAACTTCCGTGGAGACTGACGTCTGTGGCTTCAGGGTGGAAATTGTGGGTGGGCGGCCTTGGCTTCATCGCAGGCGAGTCAGGCATGTCTGGAAGCCCCGGTCTCTCCTGCGCTGACTGCACACTGTTCACGTGTGAGGCAGGGCTCGCGGGCGGGCTTGGTTGGGCACCATTCTCAGTGGGCGTTCAGGGTCGCAGATGTGCCTCGCTGCCTCCTGGGTCCCGTGAGCTCCCCTGGGCAGGTGTACTCAGGCCCCTGTGGCCTGGCTCTGGTCTTGGAGGAGAGTGACTCCCCATTCGCTGAGGGCAGCACAGCTGGGTTCTCCTTCTGACTCACACCTGCCCCTGCCTCCTGGGAAGCCAGAGCATCTGTTCTTGCAGGAGGTGCCTTCGGGGTGGTGGGGGGAGGTCATGAGACCCAGGGCAGAGAAACGGGGGCTTTCCTGCCCCCGCTCACCAGATGGCCTGTGACATCTTGAACTGCCTGAGGAGGGTGAGCGTTGCTAGGAACAGAGTTAGGAGAAAGGACCCGAAAGGACGTTTTGGCGGGTGGGTGAGCCCAGCACCTGGTCTGTGGGTCTCTGACGAGGCCATGGGCAGTGCTCGTGGACTGGTGGCTTCATGTGTGCTATCACACATGCGTTTCAGGGTGTGCGTGTTCCACTGAAATCCTCGGGCTTGCCTGTAAGGGCCCTCCAGGGAACTGTGATTTGGACTACGGGGTAGTGACCTGTTTCCATCTGCGTTGTTTGAAAGCTAGTCCCTGGCTGTGGTAGACCGGCTGGCAGCATCCTCTTGATCAGAGGAGTGGTGGTGCCAGTTCTCTCGTGGCCTGTGTTAGCGCTCGTTGCTGCTAACAAAGCACCGCCAGCCCAGCAGCTTACAGCCGCCACGCGCAGTGGCAGGAGGCCTGAGGTGGAGTCCCCTGCAGCCGAAGTCCGGGTGTCGGGCCGCCCTTTGACCTGCTCCCTCGGGTTGTGGTGGAACCCAGGCCCTGTGGTTGTGGGACCGAGGTCCTGCTCTCCTGCTGGTCTTCAACCTACAGGCTGCCCACTGCCCACGTTCCCTGCCCTGCGGCCCCTCTGCCTTCAGAGCCCCCAGCGGCACGTGGAATGTTCCTCACACTTTGGTCCCTCTGACTCTGCCACCAGTTGCCGACGCTCCCTGCCCTTGGGGGCCTGGGGCCCACTGAGGCCACCCAGCTGGCCTCCCCGTGAGGCCCCCGTGTCAGTTCACGGGCTCTGTGACTGGGGCCCCTTTTTACGAGTCTTCTCTGTACACATCCCAGGTCTTAACTGTCTCCTGGTTTTCCCTGAGCGTTTCATTTTAAGATGATCGTTAATTCCGTCCTGTAAAGAGTTACACGAGCAGCTCCTGGCCCGCACATCCCACGTGGAGGAGTTGGAGCGTCTGAGGCGGGACTTCGAGCAGCAGCAGCAGCAGGAGAGGACCAAGCATGAGTCGGAGCTGGGACAGCTGAGGATTTACTTTGAAAAGAAATTAAGGGAGGCTGAGAAAGATTACCAGGAAGACGTGGCCCTGTTCCAGCAGCGGCTGCAGGAGATGGAGGAGGACTCTCTGCTGGAGTCTGTGCAGATCAGGTAGACAGAGCAGTTTCCGCCTTAACCTTGTTTTTGGAATCGGCACCTTGAGCTGAATAGGAGTCTAGTGTGGTCTGTGATTTATGCCAGTGCAGGCAAGGCACCTTTTGTTTTAGAAACACTTGATGTTTGGGTCTCGGAACAAGATGTCATATGAGCTGCGAGCTGGTCTGCTCCTCGTGCTGGGCTGTGGGTGGGTGGGCTGCTGGGTCCCCGCGTCTCCCCCGGGCTGTGCCGCTCGCTGAGTTGTCACTGTCACGGTCAGATCTGCACAGCTGTCGGTCGTCCTGTCCTCGGCACAGAAGTAGGATCCCAGGGACAGAGCTGGGATCGGTGGGAAGGTGCCACGTGGGAAGGTCTTAAAACGTATTTCTCCCTCAATTCATCCAGGGCCCCTTCAGGAGAGATGTCTGGAAAAGAGAGAGACCACCTCGATCAGCTCAGCCTTCATCTGGAGCAGCACGAGGTGACGGGCGGCCTTGCGTTCTGTTGAGGGGTAGCTGACGTGTAACGTCCATTTTGGGCGCACAGCGTGACGGCTCCCTGCCTGGCTGTGTCGTGAGGCAGTCGCCACAGTTGTCATTTTTTTCCCCTTGTGGTGAGAATTTTTAAGACCTGCTCTCTTAGCAGCTTTCAGACACAGAACAGACAGGCGCCCCCAGGACTTGTCTACCTCTGACTAGAGGTCTGTGTCTTTTGACCCTTCACCCATTTCACCCGCGCCGACCCCTGGCCAGTGTCTCTGGCTGCAGCTCTGTGGTTGTCACGAGGCCGAGTGTCTTCTCCCTTGTCTGGTCATCGCTGCGTGTTCCCACGCCTTGTCTGAGGCCGGAAGCCCCGAGCCCCCGGCTCCTCCGCACCGTTCTCAGGGCATCGCAGCGTCTCCCTGTGTTTTCCTCTGGTTCTTTCGACTTAGGGTTTGTCTTGGTCGTTTGTCCGGCAGGAGGAGACTCGCTCCCTTTTCTTCCCCAAACAGCAAGTGGTCTTGGGCCGACTGCTGGGCCCGCCGTGTACTAGTTGTCGGGCTGCTCACTCCTTGGCCACGTGAAAGCATGAGCCTCAATTTAAATGTTAACTCGAGCTTGTTGAGAGCCTGGCGTTTAGGTTGACATGACTTGTGTGAGTGGCTTTTGAGGGAAAGGGGGTGACTGGTTGTGTTTCGAGGGGTGTCAAAACACCCTCATGGGAGGTGTCAAAGTGGCACTGAGCCCCTCTGCCCTCCTTCCCTCCCTCCCTCCAACAGGGACACTCGGGCTGGGCCCTGTCAGGCTGGTCACGGCAGTGACTTCGTGGGTGGGCCCAGCTCCCGGCTCTGGACGGGAAGTGCAGGGCAGGGGTGAGGAGAGACCTGGGAGCCCCGTGGCTGAGCAGGGCAGCCTTGGCCAAGGCCCTGGACACGTGGCTGGTCAGGGAGGCCTGACCTGGGGCGGGGAGGGTGAGGACGGAGTCTGGTGGGCAGGCGAGCGGGTGTGGCGGAGGCGCCAAGTCTGCGGGTCAGCCTCAGTGGGTGCACCCTCCCGCTTCTGCAAACAGGTGGGGCAGCAGATGGTGTGGACATGGTGATGAGGGAGGCAGGTGGGGACTTGTTGCGAGGTTTGCTCTGTGCTTTCCCCGCAGGAGAGCCTGTGTTTGCCACGATTAGAAGAAAACCGCTGGGGCCAGCTAGCAGCGCGGAAGTGCTGCCCGGAGGTCCAGCAGGATGCGGACCTCGTGGGCCCCCTGGCATTGGAGGGGGAGCAGCTTGTGGGGCCCTCAGAAGAGCCCGACCAAGGTGTGTGCCTTTCTGTGCTGCTGGTCCTGGGTGTCGGCCAGCGGGGAATGTTCTGGACACCTGCACATGCTGCCTGTGCTCCAGAGGGCTGGTGCTGAGGCCCCAGGGGGTCGAGGGGCAGGCCAGGCATGTCAGGAGGGGCCTGTCTAGGTAGCAGCGTGGCGGCTGGGGACAGAGAAGCTCTGTCGTCCCCAGGGCGCGGCCGGTGGGGCCCAGGAGAGCAGATGGGAGGCCGGCCCTGGACCCGGAGTCCAGGAGAGGGCGGGCGCTGCTGCCTTCCTGCATGGGGCTGAGGTGGGGCAAAGGGTCCCAGCATGAGGGCCAGCAGGTCTGGGTCCCCTGGGGGCTCTGGCACAAGGTCCCTCCTCTCTGCTCCTCACCCTGCTCTTTCCTGCTTGAGAGGTGCTCTGCGGGCACCTCTTGGCACGTTCCAGTCGCTGGGCCCTGGTGGAAGTGCCCTGAGCGCCTCGGCCACGCTTGGCTCCTTCTCGAGCCCAGGACGGTAATAGGCCCTGGCAGAACTGCTCTGGGGGCCGGGTCCCTGCGGCCCAGAGCTCCCTTCCTCTGTGAGTCGGCTGGCACCCAGACTGGAGGAGCAGCAGCGGGTGTGGGCAGCTCAGGACGGGCTGCTGTCTGGGCCCGGGGCACAGTGACCCCTGCAGTGACCGCTCGGCTGAAGGTCCACTTCTGACACCAAGCCCACCCAGGGTCAGAATCAGAGGGGATGTTGTCTGAGGCTTTTGGAGGTAGGTGGCCTGTCCAGCCTGAAGCCCCGCCCTGTCCCCGCAGAGCTCACCCAGGTGCCCCTTCTGTGTGCGCAGAACGGGGCCCTGGAGGCACAGGCACAGGTGGTGGCCGGAGTCTCAGACTTGGAACCTGAGCACAAGGCTCCGCTCTCACTGCTTCAGACGTTGCTCCAGGAAGAAATCGACCTCCTAAGGGTGGAGAATAGAAATCTGCGTGAAAAGCTGCAGCGTGAGGCCCGCCTGAGGGAGGACTTGGAGGAGGTAAGTTGAAACCCCTCACCGCGCAGCGCCCACCGCAGCCTCGTGGGGACCAGAGGGCCCTCCCTGGAGTGCTCATGGGGTCTTCCTTGGGGCCTGTTGCGCCTTCCACCGGGGAGGTGTGCCGCCTCCAGGCCTCTGCATCTCCCGGAGTGTCCTCAGCCCCCAGCTCTTCCCGCTGGCCACGGTCGTGCTTCTGTGGGGCATACAGGCTGCTCGCTCACTGAGCTGAGACGTGAGCTGCCCTGAGTGACTAGCGGCCTCCCTGGGGGCCGGCGGGGCCCGGCCTCACTGTGCCGCAGGGCCCGGCAGGAGCTGTTCTTCCCGGGCTCTTCCCGGTGGGGCTGCCTCGGGGTCTCATTCTCCACGGAGCAGAGTTTCATAGAAGCCGCTACTACCCGCAAGGCCAGTTGTGTGTTATCCCCATACTAAGGCGGGGTGAGGACAGGGGCAAGGCTGACTCCGGACTGAGGTCTGTGGAGGGCCTGTGGCCCCAGCCGGGCAGCTCCTCCGCCAGCCTCTGCAGCTGTCGGCACTCGGCCTGAGCCCAAACCTGAACCCTAACTCAAGGACAGACTTGCCTCGACGGCCTTTGACGTTCCTGGACCACCCCTTTATCCACTTACATAAATTACTAGAAGAGCGGTGTGGAGTTATCCGTCTCTCCCTTTAATCGTCGGCTTTTGCTGTGACACGTTGAAGCTCTGATATTCCGCATGACACACTTACGACTGTTACGTCTTCCTGAGAAGTGGACCCTTTTGTCATCAGTGAAGCGACCCCCTTTGCCCCGGTGGTGTCTTTGTGCTGAAATCTGCTTGTTTCTTTATTCACGTGCTTGTTCCAAGCTTTGCTTGTGTCTTGTTGATGGTGTGCCTCTTCCTGTCCATTGTCCTTTTAATCTAGTGACAGTATCGACTGAGGTTAGTGCCAACCCCACCGGTTAAGGTCTCGGCTCCACAGGATGCCCCCGCCCTCAGAGGCCAGCCCTTCCCTTTCTGGGTGCGGGGCTGTCCCGCGTCTGCGCACGCGTGTGTAGTCAGGGTTGGCCAGGGCGCGTGTGATCGCAGTTTGCAGCTCTCCTCCTCGGCTCCGTCCTCACAGGCCCCCTCCCTTCCCGGCTGCTCTGGTTCAAACAAGTAGGACTTGGGGTTGTGGGGTGGTTTCTGTGCGCACTGCTTGGAGGGGTCAGCCCCACAGGGCCGCATCTTTGTTCTGGGCCTCAGGCCCGACCCCAGGGTCTTTCCTGGACCTTATGCAGAGTCTGCAGTCGTGTCTGGGAGCGTCGGCCTGATGAGAGCTGACCCTCAGCCGTCACCATGGGCAGGCCCTCAACTGTGTTCTAACAACTCGAGTAAGGAGTTGAGGTCAAGCTTGCATACCTTTTTGGTCTGGTTTTACTTCTTTCTGATCATCAGTTGACCTGCTTTCTTTCCTTTTTTGAATGTTTGAGTGTTTGCCTACGTTCCGCTTCCTGACTCACCTCCCTTCCAAAGGCCCCTTTGAGAGCATTGATTCTAGCCCATCAGCCTCTCGCTCGGTCCCTGTGACCCTGGAGCGTGAGCCGTGTGTTCGGGGCCTGACCCTGCCCGCTGCTGCTCTCCTGTGGCGCGCGGTCCCCCGGCCGACGGTGGGTTCTCTGTGTGCGGGTTGGCCTTCCCCTTGACCGTGGGCCCCGATGCGTCTGCTTTCCCCTGTGCTGGTCTTGGCACAGCAGAGGAGGTGCCCCACACGTGTGCCCAGGCTTGCCCGCCCCGCAGATAATAGACGGTCCCGGCTGCCTGGATGGGGACACGTTTTACTTAAGCAAATGGTTTTAAGTCTGTTCGCATTAGGCCCCTTCATTCCTGCCAGTGCAGACACATTGCCGTTGCTGTGCTCAGCACCGTGCCCGTGTGCTGCGCGACTTCTCTGTCTCCAGACGTGTTTTGGGTCATTGCTGCCAATGGTCTTTTCAGTTAACTTGTTCCCTCTTAAGTGGAATCGTGCTGTCTACAGGGAAAACATAATTTAGTAGAAGATCACCAGGCAGAACTGAAGAGCGCTGAGGAGAGGATCGAGCTGGTGAAACAAGAGCTCAGAGACAGAGAGGCAGAGTGGAACGTCACCAGCGAGGGCCTGAGGCGAGGCGCGGAGGAGAGGCTGGCACGGGTGCTCCTGGACCTGCGGGAGCAGGCAGAATCCGAGAAGCGGTCCTTGACAGACAGGTTTGAGCTTCGAGAAGCTGAAATGAGGCAACTTCAGGACCAGCAGGCGGCCCAGATCCTGGCCCTGGAGGGGTCCCTGACGGAGCAGCAGGGCCGCCTGCGGCAGCTAGAGCTCGGCCTTGCCGGGGACGAGTCTCTGCGGTGCAGCCAGTGTGGCCGGGAGCTGGCCGGTGGCCTGGGCCCAGCGGACCGGGAGCGGGAGCCAAAGGAGGACGGTGACCCTCGGCTGCAGCCGGCCCAGAGCAGGTGGGTGACGTCCCGTGTCCGGGCTGGGCGTGGCTGGGCGTGCGGCCTTCTCGTCATCTGTGCTCTCCGCATCTGTTACGGCTCCGGCAGCAGAGCCGAGGCCTCGTTTACTGCAAGGCCGTGCAGCCTATTCATCAGGTTTCTTCTGTACTTTAAACTCAAACAGATGTTCTTTTCAACACACGCCTTTTTCTAAGCTGTTTGCCCACTTCCCTGAAGTTTTAAGCAAACGTAGAACGTGACTTGGTTTGGTGCCTCTTTGCAAACCTGGGCTGTAGTGGGGTTGCGAGGTTGGAGGTCGTTGGAGCTGTTGGTTCTGCTGCTCGTGTGCGAGGGAGATGCGGGCGGGAGCTGCTCTGGGGTCTGAGAATCCGTCAGGTCCCGGCCCACCGTGTGTGAGCTGGACGGACACGACGCAACGTGCAGACTCACGAGGCCTCCGTGTCCTCCCTGTGTGGGGCGGTCGGCGGAAGGGCGTGCGCGGGCTCTGGGGACAGTGAGCACAGAGAGCCCAGCCCAGCCCTTGTCACCCGTGCGCACCGATGTGCACTGGGCGCCCCCTTCCTGCTGGGGTCCGGGTGCTTCCATCAGAAAGGCGTCTTCCTGCTCGTCTGCCAGCCGGTGCCACCAGCAGCTCTTTGAATTCACGTCCCCGCTGTACCCTGAAGAGCTGTCTCAGGTCCTCTGATGTTCTGTGCGGCCCCGCGGCTCCCCGGAGCGATCCCGCCGCCTTCCCTGTCGAGGCACTCTCTTTGCTGAGTTGTAGTCAGGCCTGCTTTCCCGGGGTGTCTGGTGGAAACGCGTGTGTGATTTCTTGCTGGGGATCCTGTGTCTCCCCCTCCCCCCTGTCAGTCTGACTGGGGACGGTCTGGCCTCTGAGCTCCTCCGGCTTCGTGGGCCCCATCACTCTCTGCTCCCTGCTGGCTGTGGGCTCTCGGACCGTTTGCAGCAGAGAGAGGCACAGTCAGATCCAGGAGGGGGGGGGGTCGTTCCCAGGAAGGGTGGTGCTTCCCGCAGGAAACGTGGGGCTGGAGCACTTGTGACCATGCTGGTGTTCTGTGTTCTTTTGTCTGGTCACCTCAGATTCTTAGGAGAATGTCGAGAAGTCACAGAGAAGTTCATTGAGGAGCGAGATGCCTTCCTGCAGGAGGCCCAGGAGAAGCACTCCAGCGAGCTCCAGCTCCTCCGGGAGAGACACCAGCAGCTCGTCCTGTCCTTGAGGGCCGAGCTGGAGACCAGGCACCAGGCTGAGCTTGAAGAGCTGCGGGCTTCATTCCAGAGTGAGCGGCGGGCTCGATCAGACGCTCGAGAGGCTGAACTGCAGGCAGAACTTGCTGCAGAAATCAGGGCTTTGGAGGCCAGGCATGTGTCACACCTGGACTCTCTGGAGTCCCGTTATCTGTCTGAGATCCAGACCTTGCGGGGCCAGCACAGACGGGCCCTGGAGCTGCTGCGGGTGGACCTGGAGGAGCAGCTGCAGAAGGAGGCCGCTCCTCACCACGTGATCCTGACCCGGGCTTTCGAGAAGCTGGAGCTGCAGCAAGAAGATGCGCCTGCGTCCGCAGAGGAGCTGGGCATGGCGCGTGCAGGAGCCCTGCGGGGGGCTCACCAGGTGAGGCGGGTGTTGAGGTAGCGGGCTTTCAGGTGCGTTTGGTCCCGGGCTCCTGGAAGGCTTGGGTCTCTGGTCCTGGAGAACGTGCCGCCGCGTGTGGTGCTCTCCATGGGGCCCCAAGGTTTGGGTGCTCCTTGGGCCTTGGGTGGGCGACCCCCGTGCACTAGCCTCGTGTCCCGCGTCAAGGGCAGCAGCTGCTTTTCTGGAGGCGGTCTCTGCGGGAGGCCCTGCCGCCCTGGCTGGTGCCCAGCCTTCCTCTCCTGTGACCCATGGCGCCTGTCTCAGGAACAGGACACGTTTATTTGGCCTGGAAGTTTGTCACATAGCGTGAAGTCAGGATGGGGTTTCACCTCCTCGCCGCGGATGGCTGCTGTGTGCCCTGCAGGGCTAGGTGTGTGCACCAGGCCTGGAGTGGGGGTGGCGCAGGTGGGGGCAGGTGGTGGCGGGTGCTGCCCGTGAGGTGGCAGAACGATCCGCAGCGATGGTATGGTTGATTAAAAGTCGCCGTTCTGGTGAATTAATGCTTCGTTGCATATTTAAACTAGACATTCCAAGTCGTAAAGCAGGAGATCTGCACCTCGTGAGAGCACGAGGACCAGGAGGAGCTGTCCCTCTGGACTGAGACACGCTCCATGCGGAGGTTTGTGGGAGGGGCTCTGCTCCAGAAGTTAGTGTATCGTTTGCCTCCGTTCAGCGTGTCTCTGGATGGGAGGAAGGAAGCAGCCTCGCCTTGATAGGTGTGGTGGCTTCATTGTATGGGTGGCTCTCCAGTCTAGTGTGGTCTGCGGGCAGGATCTCCCATGAATTCCTGATTCCGGAGCAGGGCCAGTTCTGCGTGGGGTAGAGGGACTGTCACGTGTCTGAGCCTCTGGCCTGTCCCTGCGTTTGGGCCCCAGAACTTCTCCCTGGAAGCAGCTGGAGCCCCGTCGGCCTTGAGGTCTGGTCTAGAGGGCCTTCTGGTGCTGGGACGGGGCCCCCAGCAGGTCCGAGCTTCACGAGCCTCAGGCCCTCGATTGTCATCTTCAGTTTCCTTCCACGCAGACAGACAGACCAGTAGATGCCACGGGGAACACGGCTTCTTCCCAGCCCGTGGATTTAATTCTGATTCTCTTGGTTTACGTGGTTTGAAGATAATGACGTTGTGAGAGCACACCGAGACAGAGGAAAGTATGTTTTACACACAAAACCTGTGTATTTAAAACTACGATTTAATTGTATTAGTGCAAAATTCGATTGTAGGAAGCAGGTGGGAGGTGTGTGGTGGGGGATGGGTGTGTGGGATGCAGCGCCCTGTGGACACGCTCGGCAGGAGGAGTTCAGGGACACGCGTGAGATGCAGAAGCAGCAGGTGCCCCAGGAAGGCTGCGCAGGGGGGCGGCTCTGATCGACGGTGTGGCTCCTCCTGGGCTGAGCGGCTTCCAGGACGGCCTTGGGGCAGACTCTGGCTTGCAGCCCGAGCGTTTGTGAAGCCCCCTCTGTGGGCTGGGCCCCATGGCCGGCGCGCAGGGGTCAGCTGGGGTCGTGTCAGGTCCAGAAGTGGGCACCTGTGCCAAGTGCCCCACAGGCGCTACCAGCTCTGCACCCCATGCTGCACCCCGTAACCTGGGGCCCATGATCCCACCCAGGGACATGACCCTGCACGGACTCCACCCCGCACCCTCTGACCGCCGTCCTCGCCCTGGTTCTCGCAGTCCCGGCCACATGCTGCCTCCTGTTCTGGAGCAGCCTGGCCGTGCGCTCCTCTGCACTTGTCTGTGTCCGCTGCCTGCACTCTCCTGCCCTCGCATCCTTCTCATCAAATGCCTTCTCAGTGAGCCCTTCGGATGGCCCCCTCGGGACTCCCAGCCCCCTGCGGCAGCAGCGCGGCCCCCGTGTGGGGCTTGCCGGGCTTACACTCTGTCCGCCCCGCGTCCCTGGCCCGCAGCGACGCCCAGGCCGTGGCCTCCTGGCAAGCGGGCCCAGAGGGTTTGGTGCCAAGGGACCGACTCTGCTCGTCCCCTCTGCAGACCTCTTTAGGGCAGTTGTCGCCGAGGTGTCTGAGGTCCTGCCACACCGGGTTACGACCTCAGAGGTCAGGGGGTGGAGAGGGCGACAGGACCCGCCTGTGGTGCACCCGGAGGGTGGAGTCCGGGTGGGGTCCCTGAGTGGGTCAGTCCCACGCGTGGGCCACTTGGTGGCCGGATGGAGGGGTGGAGGCGACTGCGCCAGTCGAGGCAAGAGCTGAGCCAGGCTCTCGGGAAGCCTGGAGATGGGGGGCCTGCTGAGGGTGGGCCAGGCCCTCCTGGGAAGTGCTCCTCGGGTCTGCTGGAGCCAGACTAGGGGCGCTGGGAGGGGCCCAGCGAGGCTGTGGTGCCTGCACTGCCTGAGGGGGCGGGTGGGGTGGGTCTGGCTGTGTGGGAGGAGGTGGCAGCGGCTGCCCGGGCACCCTCGCTGTGGGAGTGGAGGCTGGAGCAGGCGGGCTCTTTGGGTCTGCTGACTGCGTCCACACGGACCCTGCTTCCCTCGGCAGACGCTCCTGGTACTCTGCACACGCTGTGGCTGCTTCTTCCGATTTTTACACTTGGTGCATCAAAATGTGAGTGAGCAGTGTGCCAGGTTGTGAGGCTGTCCTTCTGGTGCAGTCTCACAGAGCAGCTGGAGCCCTCTGAGCACGTGGGACGCCATGGAGGCTGGGACCTGGCCAGGTCCTCGTGACCCG